AATGAAATGGGCATGAGTTCTAGTATTTGGATCTATAATGATGAAAACACATTCTAAGTAACAACCAAGTAAAGAAATAATGAGATCATGCAACGACTTTAGAAAACAAAAACATCACAGATTAATAACCCTCCAAACAAAGTTTAGGCTCAAGTCTCTCAGGGTTGTAGCATTAGTTGGAGTTCCTTCCTTCAAGCATGTTACAAAAACTGATATTTTTTTCTTTTTTGTGATTACATGTGAATTCGTAAATGACAACTACAACGAAGCATAAACCAAAGAGCATATCAAACTTCCATCCATGTTTGTAACTTTCTTTAACATTCATGCAATTAAAAACCAAATCCTCATCATTATGTTGGAAGGTACCCTAAGACACAAACCAACAAACAAAAATGACCCTTTTTTTTCAAAATTTTCCGATTTTCTGTTATAGGACACATTAAAACACTTCAAAACACAATAAAAACACTTAAAGAACATATATTTAAGTGTCCCAATATATTTAGGAATCCCTTTGGTAGCTGGAACATAAGTAGGAAAAGATTAGGATTGACTAAGCCAAGATAAGGTAGTTTGACTCTTGTTTCCTCCTTTGTAGCCGATTCCCTGTCTTCCAAATCTTGAATTAATTTCTTCCATATTCTTAGCCTTTCTTGAACTTCAATTTTGTCCATCCACCTTGCTCTAAGCATGTGATATCCATTCCAAGCCCAAAACTGCTCCAAATTGCACTTTCTTGCCACTTTAGTCAATTGGACCTACAAACACACGAAAATAGCTTAAATCACTCTAATAAATAGAAACTAACTAAGTAAATGCAAAGAAATAAGCTATCAAGGTCGCATAAATATGCTTTTATCAAACTTCAACCTGGATTGCTTCCTTCCATTTTTTCCAATCAATCTATGTCGACATTCATCAATGGAGCAAGGTTCGATGTCAGCACTAATCAGAATCTTAATAGCTACTGCAAATGCAGGTGCATCATCGACGATAATCTCATTCTTATTTATCTTGGTTCTCGAATGGTGGTTATGCCTCTTCCAAGAAACTATCATAATCTAGAATGACCCTATGCAATAGATCAGATGAGACAAGGATAGGATCCGAATTAGTTTGACTAGTTTGTGTCATTTGTTTCCACTTACAGGGATACGAATCCTTTGAGCCAACGGGTCTCTCACACTTCAAGGTAGGTGCATGTGATTGGGTAACCACTAGTGCACCCAAGCTTCCTAATAGGTTAGCGAAGTAACTGGTGATAACTAGATGGAACAACCTTCTTCTTATGTAACCAATTTCGGTCGAGGATGGTGTTTTGGGGAATCAAGCAATCCATCGCATGAAAGGTCAATAGTGGTTGTAGGCTTCTGCTTGGACTGCCAGTTTTATTGTTCTCAGATGCCAAACTGGGGCTCCGTCGATGGTGTAAAGGGTCGTTTTTCCCTTATTACCACTGTCAAGAATCCCCATCTTTTTTGCGGCGTCCTTAAATAGTACACTAATTCCTGAACCATTGTCGAACAAGATACGGCTTATTAAAGCATTGGAGATTGTATTTTGATGATGAGGTCTTCATCATGAGGTGAGTGGACATTTCTAGATCTTGGTATGGGAATTTCAAGATGTTAAAGTCGATGGCTAATGGTTTGTTAATGGAGGCCACCATTCTTGGTTTCTTACAAGCTGTATTTCTTTCTTTATGGGTGTTCCCAGGTATTCTTGCTCACCGTATGTGCAATTAACTCTAGAATCCTTTTCTTCGACACTGGACAGAGTGGAAACCCAGGAGCCTTCTGGATTTCTTGTGGTGTTCTTCAGGGTTAAGATGTTGAAGTGATTCTTCAAAAGTCATATCGACTACTTCTGTTCTTCGAGTATCCAATTCTTCGAAATGAAAAAATAGCTTCATTTAGGTTTTAGACGCGCACCTTCATTTTGGCGAGTGTAGTAGGTTCTTTATCCAGCAGGCTTTACCAAACACTTTCCAGAGACAAACAAATTTCCATGACGTCCTCTCACATCTTGTCTACGGCAATGACTCTATCGTATTTTTTCTAAATATTGCCTTGGAGGACGACAAAGTCATTGTTGTTAACTAAGCTTTCAAACATGTCAGTTGGCAAAGTGAGTAGCCAAGAGGAGTAAGAGTTCACTCTTAATGAAATCACCAATTATTAGAACCAAATTCACGTACCGCCGTGAGTGGTGGTTGTGCACAAACTCGAGCAACCTGTAAAACAATAAACAATGGTGAGCAAGCCTAAGATCGGTGGGTGGGGTGAGGTGGAGGTGTGCCCAATGGGCAAGAGAATTGAAGTGTTTAGATTGCGTTAGCAGAGATAAACCCTAGATGGGTGTATTTATACCATGGGAGAAAGACCTTTTTAGAATAGAACCCTTATTCAAAGCTGGGAGATCCTAGAGGATAGATATCTAGAAGTAGATATTGCACTAATTTAGGAGTTGTGATTACTTGTAGCGCACACCAATTCCTAGATTATAGGAACTCCAAGACATAAAAGATATGATTGTGTCCATATTCAGATAAGATTGTGTGTCTTCAGAAACAAGCATGGTCATCCAGTGGAGTCACTAAGACTCCACTTATTGCCTTGGAATAGGGTGATGGAGGCACCACAATTCCGTCTGATACAACTCCGCATGGAGATGGTGAATCCATCATTTCTGGTCCCGTCTGAGGTAACTGTATTCGGATCAGCCTTCTCTGGCCCTAGAGAATCATCATCCCACAGGTTCCATCCTTTCTGCAATAATGTCATGAAGACATTAGAAAAGGTACAAAATGATTGAAGGGCTAAGGGCTAGTTGTTGACCACTTGCCAATGCTTCGATCACAGGCATGTTTTTCGATCAAGCATTTGAAGGATTTTAGGCAGGAAATGAACTTGTTTTACCAGTAAATGATGAACACTTCGTATTCTCCTGTTTTTAGTGGTTCATCATTCTTTAAAACAAAACAATCAAGTAAGGTCTTATTACTAAGCAAATTCTTGATAAATTGGAAATGTGCTTCTGCGGCCAATTTTTGTTCATGTCTTTCGAGTGCCCTTTTATCAAAGAGGGCTTTCAAATTAGTTTCATGTGTCTATGATATGAGAGACTCATCGATCAGTAAACAGTTAGAGGCGGTTAGAGGAGTGTCAAGAAATGCAACAACATCAAACACTATGGGCACCATGGTACCAGGAAACATAATCATCATGTTGGAGGCTGGGCACCAAAAGTTGATAGCAGCAATGAGAAATTCCTGGTCCATGACAATCTTGTTACTCGAGATTTTGATGGCATCATAGATGCCTAGTCATTTCCAAGCAATACTAGAGAATCTTTCCATTTTTTCAACTCATAGAGGCTAGGTTGATGAAACTAATAGCCAAGCGGCATGAGGCATGGCGAATTTCCATTTTGTTCAATCATTGCTTTTGAGAAATGACCTAAGAAGGTTGTCTGTCATCATCGCGATGATGGTTTCAGGGACGGTGTCTGTATATGCGGACCTAGGTTCTAAATAGAAGATTCGTAAGTAATGAGAGATCTCGTGATGAAGTAAATGGCGGAACCTCTTACTGACAGCTCAATTAAGAGTTTCTCGCATAAATCAGAGTTGGGTTAATCAAGAGCCATTGCGAGCGAGGGAGAAGAAATGGATAGGTTGAGGAAATTGAAATTCTTCAAGAATTGGGGTTTTGTGTTTTCGAAGCTTTGAAGGAAAAGATAGATTTTGGATTTTATGTGGGCAAGGTTAGAATAGATACAAATTGTTCTAGCCTTAAAGAAATCAAGAAATTCAATCATTTGTAGTAGGGAAAATCGAAACACCTTGAGCCAATTTTCACGTTGCATGAGGTAATTTGGAGATTAGCGGTTATTCAGATGAGACCTTTTAGTGATTAAACTGTCTAGAAGTTATGGCGCATGAGCAGCCAAATTCAAAGAGTCATCACAAGAGCTTTACACGTGAAAACTAATGGAAAGGTGTGTCGGTCGAGGCAAAACTAGAATCGAGGCATTTAATGGAGATAATGGGCAATTTAAATAATATTCGCTTCTTAAAAACCATAAGGTCAAGTGTCCTTGGCTGAGGATTCTAGAAGCGAAGGGCAATAATTGGGCTTGAAATGACAGTTTAGGCCAAATAGGGTCAATCTGAGAGCCACAAACCTCAGCCTAGTAGGCAACCTTTAGGCCAATGGGCTTTCAACTTATAAATAGATAAATTTTGGCCGAGTCTTTATGAAGGAGGGCTTGTCAAAAGATCAAGTGTGGGTGGCTCGATCGAGTCCTATATAAATTGAAATTGCTAGAGATTAGATTAAACCTTGGATAAATATGATTTATCCCAAGGATTAGAATGCATGCGTGATTGGATAAAGATGAATGAGTCTCATATTGTCTATATGAATGAGTCTAAGTCATTATGACTTAGAGTTTTATGTACATAAAACATAAAACAGTTCTATGCATGATTGGATAAATATGTTTTATGTACATAGAACATAAATCTCTATGTATGTATAATTTCTTAGACTCTAAGTCATTATCATTATCATATTTTTTCCTCAATATGGTGTCTCATTTGAGAGGAGTATTCAGGTAGTAAACCACAAGGGGAGAACGAAAGAATATGTTTTACTTCTGGTTGATTTATAATCCAGCATTTTTCTTTAAGTTTCAATGTCTCATGTCGCCAGTTGATGGTGGGCAAGGCTCACCTGCCCATTATTTTAGAAAAAGGTTTGGCTCATTTAGTTAAATCTCAACAACTCATCGAGGGTAAAAAATGTGCGGGAGAAAATTTCCAAGTTGAGCGGAACACATCATTCTCACCCAGTCCAGCCCACATGTAAAAGCTGGTTGCAGTCCATTCTAGCCCACATTCAAACGTTTTCTCCTGAACAAAATACCCCCAATCAAAGTTTCCAAAAAAATAAAATAATACCCCAAATCAAAGGGTATTTTGCCAAAATTACAAATTTTGAGACTAATGACTGCTTTTTATTCTCTGGAAATTAAATGCAATGTCCGAAAGGAGATTTTGAAAATATTCTTCTTTGTTGTGTCTGAAATTTGTGTACATATCACATTACTGTATTAACTAAGAAACATTAAATGCGGTTCACCACTTTGAAGCCAAACTATGACATTATTGCTAGTAGAAAGTATCGGATGGCTTTGAGCAAATCAAATTCTGAACGTGCCGACTGGGAGGGACATGGAAGAACGTATCAACCAACGAACCATATATCGTCAACAGCAGATTTTCAGGGGCAAGACATTCCTGCATTTGGTGCAGACAAAGATTTGATCCTCGAGTTGCGATTAAGCAAGAAAGCAAGACAGAAAACTTTTAAGGATAAAAAGGAAGTGAGAAGAGTACATCAAAGCGAAAGATCAGCCAAGTCAAAAGTTCTTGATATAGCCTTGAACCAGGATTCCAGCTTCTTCTTCCTCAACTCTTCATCTAATTTTGGACGGAAAATGGTGGAAGTCTTGGTCCTCTCTTCACTAGCGAAAATCTCCTTTTCGCTCCAAACACCAACGGCTAATCCAGCAGCATAGGCTGCTCCAAGAGCTGTTGTCTCGATGTCAGCTGGTCTGACCACTGGGCTCCCCAACAGGTCCGCCTACAGAACAACAAAATGAAGAAAAAATTCAATCATTAACAGAATGAATAAGCTTTTACAATAGACGCGGAAGAGCATTTAGCCACTCGGGTTCTTTTTTCTGATCTTTATTTCATAACAAAAAAAAACACAAGATTAACCACAATTATTTAATAAACATGATGTCCACTGGCCTTTGGTTCAAGTAGTTAAGGGGGGTGATGCAAAGATAAGGCAACTGTTTTGTTCTAAAACTTCATTATTATTCCTTACTTTTCTACTCCTTTAACAAGTTTGGTAGCAGAAAAAGTATGAACAACAAATACAACAATTATAAAACTTAATCTGGTGGGTGAAACATATATTTCTCGTGGAACTCCAGCCAAATGCAAAATTGTTGACAGAAAAGATAAGAAACCGTATGAACTTCTTTCTACAAACAAATGTAGTCAAAGACTCTTTACTAACCATGTAAAAGCAAAACTTGTCATCTTGGCATGTTTTCATTTTATGTAGTAGTATATCTATAATTCTCTATGGAAAGCAGAGGATGGTTTGTTGGCAAAGGAATGAACGGAAAGCATTGATTATGTGCCTCATATTAATACCATAATACAAAAATATGACAGACGTTTATTGACAGTTCCATTTCTTGCTAAGGCACGCAACGCTAGAAGATGGAGCACATAAGCACAAAAAAATATCATTAGATTAAACTTCTCCATAATCTGACATGCTGGAGAAAATGTCAATACATATTTTCACCGTCAGTTCTCAGATTACAAAACTAATGTCTCTTTTGACATGAGAACAGCATAGCTAAAGAAAACGCCAACGAAAGCACAGTTGCTAAAATCATAGACAGAAAAAAAACAAATATTTCCACGGATGATTCAAAAACTAAAGAGGGAACAAAGAGAAGGCTGGTAAACCATGAGCAGAAACAACAAAAATGAAAAGGAAAGAATATGTGGCTAAATTGGTGGATTTGATTAAAATTGAGCTATACACTGCAAATTATAGCAAAAAATATGAAAAAAGGCCCGAACCTGAATCTGCATTAGAAGGGTATTAACAGTAGCACCACCATCCACTCTGAGCAGGAACTCTCCCTTCTCGTTCTTAACCTCTCCCTTCTCCCCTGCATCTTTGTGCATTGAATCCAGTACATCTTTGACCTGGAAGCACATACTCTCAAGCACTGCTCGACAAATGTGAGCCTTGTTTGTAAACCTTGTAATACCAATACAAACCCCACGAGCATCATCACGCCACCATGGAGCAAATAATCCATTAAAGGCAGGCACAAAATAAACCCCACCAGTGGACTCAACCTGTAAAGCCAAATCTTCAATCTCACTCGCGCTCTTAATGATCCCAAGACCGTCTCTAAGCCACTGAACCGCAGCTCCAGCAATAGCAATCGATCCCTCTAGGGCATAATTTGTCGAAGCTTTAGGGCCAAGTTTGAATGCCATAGTGCTTAGAAGCCCATGCGTTGACTGGATTATCTCTTCACCAGTGTTGAGAAGAATGAAAGCGCCCGTCCCATAAGTGCTTTTGGCCTCTCCTCTCCTGCAAGCTTGCCCTAACATTGCTGCATGTTGATCACCGAGACATCCAGAGATTGGGATTCCAGTAATTGGCCATCCTGTGTTAATTTTTCCAATAATCTCAGAGTTACTGACAATTTTGGGAAGAATTTCAGCTGGAATTCTTAAGGTTTTCAATATGGTACTATCCCACTCAAGGGTCTTGAGATTCATAAGCATAGTCCGCGATGCATTTGAGACATCAGTGACATGTATCCCTCCCTTGACACCACCGGTTAAATTCCAGATTAACCAAGTGTCTATGGTTCCAAAGAGAGCATCCCCTGATTGCACAGCTTCTTTCACATTATCCACATTTTCCAACAACCAGAGCAGCTTCAATGCACTGAAATACGTGCTTATGGGCAAACCGCATGTTTCCGCAAAATGAGTTCTTCCCCCGGATAATTCTTTCTCCAATTTTCTATTAGAAAAATAACCAGAATACTTACAATTATAAGACAGCTCCAAATTCTGAAATGACGATATGAAAGGCAGGGGAATTGAAATTTTCTTAAAAAAAACCAAACATGGGACGCATCAAGCATAAAAAATATTCACACCCAAACATCGGTCCCTGAACTTGTCACAAATTGGAGCAATATAGTTTTTATGGGTCTTCCAACCTTATTGTGCCTTTAAATCCTTAATCGTGGATGGAACTTCCAACAGTTTTATAGTTTAGGGACAAAGCTCCAATTGGATCAAACTCCGGGATCCATACTCCAATTTCCTATATAAATAACCTCATCAAATGAGCAGGAATCCAAAATTGAAAATATTGGAAACCCAGCTAACATTCAAATCATCCAAGAAAATCAGTACAGATTATATCTTAATTATCAATGGCCAAACAAAAACACTATCAATATTCATCAAAGTCCAAAAACAGCAAGCACCCAATTAAGGAACCCAATCGAGAAATCACAATCTGAGCATCTGCAGATCCTGATTTCAAATTTAAACAATTGCAGACAAGAAAAAACAGTGGAACAGAGTACCTGCAAATAGAACTGGTACGGACATCCATCCAAACAATAGCATTGTAGAGAGGGCATCCAGTGGACTTGCTCCAAACCAGAGTTGTCTCTCTCTGATTGGTCAACCCTATAGCCTTGAGCCCACTGTCCACGTTGTGCCCATCAGCTGTGGCCTTGTCGAGAGCCTTCGCCATGCAAACTCTCACACTCTCCAATATCTCCATCGCATCATGCTCAACCCACCTGCCGAAAAAAAAAAAAAACCATCCAATCCTAGAGCAAAAGTGAAAAAATGGACTCTTTGATCGATTCATTGATTCATTTGCTTACCCGGCTTCCGGGTAGAACTGAGTGAACTCGACCTGGTGGGAGCCAATTGCGCGGGCCGAACGGTCGTAGATTATGAATCTGGTGCTGGTGGTGCCTTGGTCAATCGACCCAATGAACACTTCATCTGGTTTTTTCGAGTCCTCTGGTTTTTTTGACATTTTTGTTCCTGCAAACTCCAAAGATCCAAACTTTTGTTCTGGGTTTTTGAAGAGGGAGGGAAAGAACAGAAAGAGAGAGGATTTTGGGAGAACTGGTTTCTTGGGTTGCGGACAAAGTTTATCCAACCACCATTAATGGGGTCACATTCAGTAATTGCAGAGATTTTTAAATTGGTTAAGATAAGATTGATGAATAAATTATGGAAATGCAGATATGGGAAACAATAATAATGACAAATTTTCCATTTTTTCCAAGAAATTTGATTTGTGGAGTGAAAAATTTGGATTTTTGTTTAGGCTTTTAGTACAGAGCTCCTTTGTCGGCGGAGAGTGAGGTTTTGAGTTTGTGTGATGTAGATTCTTCTCCGGAGTAGTTGGTTTGGTTGAACGACTTTGAGCGCCATTTATTGCCACATGGCGCCTCTTTTAATTTTGTGACGCACTTTTGGCTGTGATCTACCGCGTGCTTTTGACTTGGTGCGCTCCCTTCTCGTGCATTTTCACGGGGAATTTTGAAGGATGCATCTCGTGCTTCAAATTTTGAATGGCAACTCCAAAAGCAACTTGTATAACACGATGTAGACCATTATATAGTTGACATTTAACTTAAAGTAATTAAGGTGAGAGTACGCAATGTGAGAGGATTTGAACCCTTACTACAAAGTATAAGAGTCAAAACTTAGATAAGAGTGCAGCACAAAATGAAGAATGTTCTCATCCCATAATGATGGACACATTTTAACAATTAAAGGAACCTACATTAACACAAGTGTAGGTCAGCGTTTATCGATAATCATAAGTATATATTGTAAAGTACCCAACATATGTAGTAATTTAAGGATACGTGTACAACATAGTAAAAAGAATAATAATAACACATAGTTAATGCGCATCAAATTATGTAAGCACACAAGTCATGCAGAATTAACTATATGAACATGCTAGGTGTAAAATTTACGTTCTAGTACTACAATCACATGAAGTTGGGGCTAAGCACTCGCATACAGGTCCCAGTTGCCTAATGCAAAACTACTCTGGGACAGGTTGGCATACAATCACTTTGGAATAGGTTGACACCTACTCTGGTCCCAAAGTGAACGTAAATGGTGTATATGAACATACATGGAAAGCTGGTTCTTGGTCTGGACTATACAAATAAAGATAACATTGTACATACATGTAAAAATGAGCAGATAAAGCAATGGGTGTAGTCATACCATAGTTATACTCACATGTAATAATTAAATAATAAAGAATAAAACACTTATTATTTCTTAAGTATAATCGTGGTATGACACACAATCAAAACGCTTTTAAAGAAACTATATAATGATAATATTTGAAGGCAAAGACCCACTCACATTTACTTTGTGGGGTCGTAGTCGCTCAAATTAGGAAGAACAAGATCTCCGATAACAACTGTACCTAAGCAAAACCATTAGAAAAAGCTCCACTAAAACAATTGAATTTGAAGAAATAAAGTGTGAAAATGGAATCACATGTCGAAATACCCTTGGAAGGGACTTGTGTAGATGATAGGGAATTTACTACACACGCAAAAGGATTAAAAACTCCTGTGATACTTGCAAGAATGACAAGTTTATTGTAGTATAAACGGATCTCGCAAGGTTGTTCTCCATAGGGATTATTAAATAATTCGAAATGAACCAAATTCCAACTAATTATTGTAAAATAGATATTTGAGATAATTGATTTTCATGACCTAATTTAATAAAAGAAATTAAAGCTGAAAGAAAAGGAAAAGTTTTGGAGAAATCAAATTAAGAAATCACTAGGTTTCCACCATCACTTAGCAATCCTATGTATTTTTACTGATTACTTATGATCTACACATGCCACTTTGAAGGTTAGGTTTTCCTAATTGATATTCTACTTGGAACCTCCAACATAGAACGTATATCTAACTTGCAACCCGTCCGAACATTTGGATCAAATTCAAACATGAGAGACTCATTATGCTTCATGAAAACCCTTTGAAAAACCATGCAACCCTTAGGATGTGGTGTTCATCCTAAGTGAAATTACAATTATTAATCACAAGAAGCCAGCGCCAATTTCAGGGAACCTTCCGACCAAAATTGCATCAAATTACTTTTCTAAAGATTCTAATGGTGAACAGGCATTAAGACAATTGGATAGTTTTAATCACGGTGATTAATAATTCAAAGTGTGCATGCAATCAATCATAAGCAATTAAATAAAAATTACATATTCATGCTAAGGCTCAAGGTTTCGCCCTAGCAAAAAGAATTAGTTATGCATATTCATAATGAAAATTATAGAGAATATTATTGGAATAAAAGAAATGAAAACACCTTAAAGTAGAAAATCTCCAAGAACCCTAGCAATTACTCTCTATCTCCAAAGTTGCATAAAAGAAAGTGTAGCCAAAACTAAGAACAGCAAAAGCAATATATTTGCTAAGCCATCGCACAAACCCTAAAACATAGGTCCTTTATTCCAACTAGGAAACTAAATAATAATAAAATATCTTAGAAAATAAAGTCTTAATTAAACTAGGAGAATCTACCAAGTACTTGTCCAGCCACGTTTTAGCCTCAAATCTCCTCCAAATCCGGCCCATAATTTCTTGTTTTGAAGATCAGGACGTTTTGAACACATCTCCAAAAAGCCATAAAACCATCCAAGGCCATCTTAGGCTCCAAAAATGCAAGTCAAGCCCAAAACGTCACTATTCCAGCATCACGCATTGCTTATTTATTTTATCGCAAAAAACTAATCACTTGGTGGAAAAATCTGATATTTTGGTACAATCAAGCCAAGTGAATCACGAATATCCTCCAACTAGAATTACTCCAAAATTCATCCATTTGGCCACATTTTGCTTCAGAGGAAGTTGAATGTCCTATATTAGAAATATAATTCAAAGTATCAAAATTCTTCCAAAATATCAACCAAAATATACTAAGAATAGGGTTAAATATATAATATAAAATTGACTCATTAGACCTGGCATTCGTGTCGTGTTTTTCGTGTTCGTGTCATACTCGATATCTTAATAGGTCGTGTCGTGTAACACCCGTTAAAAAAAAAAAGTAAAATAACCTGACACACCCCGATCGAGATCAGGGCATACTGGCCGTCACAAGGAAGTGACGTAACCATGTGCACAGTGCGGAAGCTAATAAAATAATAATGCAAAAGTACGAATAAATGAAAACTAGCATACAACAGGTAATAGAACAAGTGCTAGCATAAGTGGGACACAAGTTCAGAGCAATAAGCCTAAAGCAGTCCAAAAGAAAATGACACAACAACAGTACACCCGAAGGTGGCCCTACGTTGGTGATCGTCTGTCAGAAATGCCAGGAAAGCCTTCTGGGAAACCACCCAACCTGCTAGACAACTAGAACCTGGAAGGGCGCAAAACAAAAGCGTGAGTGGGCAAAAACAAAGCTTTTCGAAAACCATTTAACAAATAAGTCCTAACCCCTCGCCGTAAAACCTGTATACTTCCCAGAAAATAAACATATGTACACACACACACACACACACATATATATATATATACCAATCATGCTTTAGGATATGCCATGCCAAAACTCACAATGAAATGCAAGTGCTCAGGTGAAAATCATATCAATATCAATATAGTTCGGCAGCCGGAGTCACCTAACGTGACCTGTACGGTTGAATCTAGAGCTTAAATCTCAGTAACTAACTAAACCTGCCCACGAGTCGGAACCACCTAAAGTGGTCTGTACGACAGGCCTGGGTGTAATACATATAAACGCTCTAGTGCTACGATCACGTAAAGGCTGTGTGAATAATCGCGGGTCACCTACGAGTCGGAACCACCTAATGTGGTCTGTACGACAGGACTGTGCACCTAACTTAGATCCAAGCTGAGCGTGTGGTGCGGGAGGTGAACAACACGTGAAGGACTGTGCCCAACTCTGGGCGGGAGCACTAACACCGGGGGTGCAGGTTATGAGCTCTCTAAGCATCTCGAATCGCTACTGAATGTAAACATGAATAACACTTACCTGGCACTTACCTGTGCGTCCGCAGCACCCAATATGCATATGTATATATATACGACTAATAATGCAACTAACGATGCATAAATAACGATAATCTAATGCATGGCATATGGCAAATGACAATTCAAATCAATTTCTGGGAAAAATATAAGTATATAGGTATATACTGAAAACCAAAAGCCCACTCACTGGTAAGTGGAAGGGTCGTAACCCCCTGCCTTGAGTGACCACGCTCGTCCTCGGGATACGTCTCACCTATATGCGAAACAACTATAAAAACGTTAATTTTAAAGCACATAACCAAACTTTAGAAATAACTTCTCATACAATGCTCAAATGGGGTATATGAATACACCAACGTGATCTACTCAACCTCAGGAACATCCCCATATTTTTAAAATAATTTTTCACCGTCGCACGCGCCCCCACGCGCAGGCCAAGGCACGGCCACACGCCCTGGCCACGCGCAGGCACGTGCCTGGCACGCTGACGGCATCAACTGACGCCGTTAGGAATATTCCGTTATCCCTAATGGTTTCTGTCAACGGCGTCAGGAATATTCCGTCAAACTTGACGGAATATTCCGTCGTCTTCTCCGGCGAGCCTCCGGCGCCGAAAAATCGAGAAAATTTCAAACTTCGATATCTTCTTCGTTTTTCAACCAAATTTCACAAAATTGGTACCAAAATGAAGCTTACAACGAGAGGAACACAATCATACCACTTTCAAGTGCTAAAAACCACGAAATCTCACCTGGAAAATCACCCCAACTCTGGCCAACCTCGAAACTCGTGATCCCGACGTCCAAAACCATCAAACGAACCACCCCGAGCCTCCTAAGGACCTCACCAAGCTTCCTACAAGCTTGAAATTCCCTAAAACGTGAGAAATTACGTGTGCATGAACAGTACTAAAATCGGGCATCGTGGATTCGACGTGAAAACGAAGGTGTTCTTACCTGAAAAAGGTATAGTTGGACTCCTACAAGCCTCACGAGTCTGAATATGTGCTTGGATTTCACGATCTGTGAAAGTTCGATGGGTTTGTGGGTGTGTCCGTACGTTTCAAAGGAAATGGGAAGGGAATGGGGACTCGGGACAGTGTGCAGGAAACAGGAGGAAAGGTTGTGGTGTGTGGGAAAGTGTGTGTGGCCTACAACATGCCAATCAAACTCAAAAACAACCAATAAACGTAAAGAAATCAAACTAGGGGTAATTTTGTCTTTTCACACGTAGGTTGTAATATTTCTGGGACGAGCTGTCACATAACCTAACCCAAAATCGACCTGATAATATTAACAGGTAATATGACCAGA